AAAAAAAAAAAAAAAATGACGCTTGTCACAAGCAGGTTCGCGAAGACAATGGACCACAAAGGAAAAATCGATATGTCGACGTTTCGCAGCTGACATTCCATTTGTGACAGCGAAGAACGCGAAAGTGTAATTCGAATTACAATCTCTGCACGTCTACCAGGCTCGTAAACTTTCGAACGTGCATCGACGTTTATGCAAGCGACTCGGATCAATCGCGACGGAAAAGCTGATCGTTCCTACGATCTCGATCTCGATCTCGATTTCGATCTCCTTACCGGCCGTGCAAACGCAACCACGATAAATTTGTTCTCGTTCAAAGTAAGTCCAATCGGAGGATCGTTGGCGATCCAATTAAAATAATCCCTTCGAACGTTAGTTTAGTTTATAAATTTTGAATCAATCTGTTTGCTCAACGTAGCCAAGCTGTTAAATGCAGTTAGGCTAGGCACAACGTTTATGGTGAAATTGCTTCGGCATAACAGCAAGCAATAAAAGTCGAGGAAATCAATAAATTAAAACGTTTATAGTTATAAATCTGTGACTCGTCGTGGCTGTTAAGAGAGAATATTGCCGGTGGTTGTTGTAAAATTGTCGGTTTATAGACTTGGACGTTGAATACGCAAGTAGTTCTCTATTATCCTGTTTTTCTTCGTCTTGGACAAATTGGAATGTGGATTGTAGAAATAACGATTTGTTTTATTATCATGTTTGGAACGGTGGAGCGGTGAGTTTGGAAATTCCATTTAGCTATGAGCGATAATCTATGTGTAGAAAGCATTTTTGAAACATTCTTGGGCAATTTTAATATTATTTTGGCAAACAAATGGTAAGAATATCACTTCAACAGAGTCTAGCTTTAACGCAATATTCTTGCTTACCAGAGTGCACTCTATTTTTAATTTTATGCCATAGTGATCAGTTTATACATTTGACTAGTGGCCGATTTAAATTTCAATTATCTTATACTTATTCTCATTTTAAAATAATTGTCCATCTGATTATTCAAAGTATCATCTTTTCTGAGCAATTTTTCTGTCAATTTTCCAGAAAAATCCACAAATTTTAAATTCCTAATTTATACATAAATTCTCTTCAAATTTCATTGAATTGGAAAAACTTGAACACAAAATTACTTAATTATTTGAAATTTATCGTGAATTTCCGAAATTTCCTTTCCAAGTTTTTATTGCCTAATTCCTATTATCTCGTTGGTAAAAATATTAATTAATATTATAATACTAATTAATAATATTGTTAATTAATAATATAATAATTAAACTAATTAATAATATTATTTACAAACAACGTGGCACCACAATCGATGAATCACAATCCGCTACGAAATGGAGTCCAAAAATACAATCAATATAGAATCGAGCGAATATTGGCGAAAAAAAAAACTGATCAATGCTCGATAAAAGGGATCGAATCATCCCGCTGAACGATTAATCGCGAACTTCAATCACGATCGTTTCGTGTTCATCGACGTCGACCTTTGACGAATGCTATCTCGACAGCCTTACATAGGCCGGCAATTAGAGCGGCTATGATAATCGAAGTTCGCTCGTGGAATATCATTAGCACATGAAGTAGCGGCTGGTTTAGAGTCTTTTGAATTTGATTAATTATCATGGAAAAGGGCAAGCCTCGCTTTAAGCCAGATTCACACGCTGCGCTGGCCAATTTATATCGATATACCAGAGAGAGTAGTATTACATAGTATAAATGTATTTTCGACACTAATTTTTCACGCTCGTATCGCCAGTCGTTTAACGATCGTAAATTTTAAGGACATGTCTGATCAAATTTCTATACTGGCTATACACGGAAATATTTAAACACTTATTATGTGGGAAATGAATATTATGTAAGAAAATGAGACTGCCATGATTATATTGGGAGAGTTTGTGACTAATATGAGAAAGTAGTATGTAGAAATTAGAAGGTATTTGTTGCAAGTATATACTTGTAGTAAAAAATTAGTGCTGATATGAATAGGTATTTTAAACGTACAATAAATATTAAATATGGTTGTGCTGATATATATTTTATATACTGAATTATATTGATGAAGTTCCAGAGTTAAATCTGGAATGTATGAATATTTAATTTAAATATATATTTCATAGAGATTATAAAAATATTTATACCTATTGTATTAATAAGGTCTTAATCTGTTTAAATTTCTGTGATCCCTGTGAGATATGTATTTTTTATATAAAGTTTGTTTCTTTATTTTGACAGATCAATTTAAAATGATCAACATGGACGTGATCTGTAACAACAAATATGTATGCATCGATCACTTTTTCACGATCTGACAATCTCTACGTATGCAATAATCTCGTGGCTTAACGAACTATCCTTGATCGAAGGTGCTCGATTCAACGATCCATTTATAACTAGGACTTTACTGTCGAATTTCGTCGTGTCAAGGTCGCAACAACTCCACTTTAAACACCCTCCCATTCTCGTAAGAAAAAATAAGAACGAAAATAAGTATCCTCAAGATTGTTGTGGAATTTCTCTGGAGGCGCAAAACGACACTCGATTGCAAAACATTTGGTTAGTTTGTGTTGGATAATACGTGCATGTGCTACAAAAAGAAGAGGAAAATTCGATCGCCGAATTCACGTTCATTGTAAAACTTTAAAACACCTAGATCCTTATGAAGTAATATTAAAATATCCTGACAAGATGAACAGATTAAGTTGTATAATATGTTTGAAGTCTCCCCAACAATTTTGCAGTGAGAGTGTTCTAATGAATTAGAGTTTGAAATTTAGATTTTTTAAAATAGAGAATAATGTTTATACAGTAAAAAGAGAGTGTAAATTTTTACTAAGTAAATGCAACTAATTATAGAATTGATTTCCATTTTCTTTTCTGTAATATAAGATTTTAAAATGCAGTTCTTGTACTGTACAACTTTTGAATTTCCCTTTCTCAATTCACTAATAATTTCAATTACACGGAATCGAATATAGCATGAAAACTTTCCCTATTTAACGTATTGTGTACGTTCAATGCGATGTTTCACTGCATCGGAATGTAATATTAAATTTTGTAATAAATAAATTAATTAATCGAGAAAGTGAGATGATTTTAATTCATAACTTGTAATAAATTATGTTCGAGCAGGATTGAAGTTCTACATGAGTAACAAGTAATGCAGAATTTAACCGTTATTACGAAATAAAATTTGACTTTTCTTCCCCCTCCGTTATCATTTCATCTCGTTCATCATCGTTTCGCGTTTCACTCCGATGAATCTTTCAGCAGATCGTTGCTGAATCAAAATTTTACACTGTGTACGCTTTACATATTTCATGTGCACCACGTGACGGACCGAGATCAAAGAGCGCGAATCTCGTTCGATCATTTGGATCGACTCTCTCAGAGCTTTACTCCAAGCTCTCCTCGTCCACAGGGATGAAATTCTCAATGAATTTCGATCCGTGTGTGCGATCCGTCACTAGCCGTTGCCAACATTTCCGACAGCTTCCGTTAAAGCAGACCGAGAGAAAAATATGACCGAGCAAAATAAAAAAGGATCAGAAGAAGAGCACGCAATGAATAATTGAGGAATCCCCAAAACAAGGAAAAAATTATTCACCTAATCGACGACCGTATTCTAAATTCTAAATTTGACTTGCACGTCCTTCACTTCACGACGGAACAGGGATTATTCTTAACAAACGTCGAGTGAAATCCAGTTTCCCATCTCGTTGATCTTTATTTTCAGTTCGCGAATCTTGTTCTCGTTGATCTTTATTTTCATTGTATCGAAACATTAAAGCACAGAAAC